GCTTGGGAATCCCCTCCCATTTCCCCCCCTTTTCCCCCCACAATTCCCCCCCTTTTCCCCTCACCTTTTCCCCTTTGGCCCTCATGTTTCCCCCCCGTTTTCCTCTCTCTTTTCCTCTCATGATTCATGCCCTTTCCCCCTTCATATTTCCCTCTTGTCCCCTCAGGATTCCTGCCCTTTTCCCCTCACATTTCCCTCCCATTTTCCCCTCACATTTTCCTCCCTTTTCCCCTCACATTCCCCACCCATTTTCCCCCCCATTTCCCTCTCACATTTCCCTCCCTTTCCCCCTCACATTTCCCTATCCTTTCCCCCTCACATTTCCTCCATTTTCTCCTCACATTTCCCCCTCACATTTCCCTCCTTTTCCCCTCACATTTTCCCCCCTTTTCCCCTCATGATTTCCTGCCCTTTTCCCCTCACATTCCCCCCCGTTTCCCCTCACATTTCCCTCCTTTTCCCCTCACATTTCCCCCCTTTTCCCCTCATGACTTCCTGCCCTTTTCCCCCTCCATTTCCTCCCTTTCCCCCTCACATTCCCCCCCTTTTCCCCTCACATTCCCCCCCTTTTCCCCTCACATTTCCCCCCTTTTCCCCTCACATTTTCTCCCCTTTTCCCCTCACGTTTCTTGCCCTTTTCCCCTCACATTCCCCCCCATTTCCCTCTCACATTTCCCCCCTTTTCCCCTCATATTTCCCCCATTTTCCCCTCACATTTCCTGCCCTTTTGTCTCCTCACGTTTCCCGCCCTTTTCTCCCCTCACATTTCCCCCCTTTTCTCCCTTCACATTTCGACTTCCTGCCCTTTTCCCCCTCCATTTCCTCCCTTTCCCCCTCACATTCCCCCCCTTTTCCCCTCAACCCCCCCGGGGACGCCCCCACACCTGCTTGCCGTTGTGGGTGACGGAGGAGAGGATGGTGCGCAGCGTCTTGACGCCCATGGCGATGTCCAGCAGGTGCGAGGCGAAGAAGAAGTTGTTGTAGTGGCCCAGCAGGGACATGGCCATGTACCAGGTGAGGTACAGGAAGGACTGGGGGGGGCACGCAGGTGGGGGTCACCCCAAAAGCCACGGGGAGGGGTCCTCACAGCCCAGGTGAGCCCCCCGCCCCAGCAGCCCCTGCCCGCGCTCACGTTGTCGGTGAAGATCACCCCGAATTTCCAGATCTGGTAGCGGATGTCGATGGATGTGATCCTGGGGGGGAAAAAAAGGGGGGGTCAGAGGGTGGGGATGCCCCCAAGAGGGGTGGGGAGCCC